AATTCAATGGTAAACCGTACTCTCCTCTCTACGAGCCAAAAATTTTTTTTTTAAATTGTAATTTAATTGAAATTTTATTTTATTTATCGGTTAATTAATTAATTAATTTTTTTTTAAATTTTAATTTACGTAATCGAGTGAAAACGGTTTGAATAACAACTTATTATTTAATTAATTAATAAATTTTTTTTTTTTTCGACGTGAAAAGTACTCGAAAAAATATTTTTTAATTTTTTTCGAAAGGTAAAAACGGTTAAAAAAATTTTTTTACAAAATATAAATGAATATTAAAATAATAATAATAAGGGAAAAATTTTTACGAGGTGGTAGTGGGGGAAGGAGATCCTCCTCTTGAATATGAGGCTTATATATATTAAAGAACCACTCGAGAGTTAACAATAATAATAATAATTTTAACCACGTTTTAATATTGAGGTTAATTCAAAAATTATATATATATTACTCTATGACTTTACGGTATGTTAATTAAACCTTATTTAAATAAATTAATTTGATAACTTCGAAAAAATAAAAAATTATTTAAAAATTTTTTTACCCCGTTAAAAAATTAAACGTCCTCCTCCCTCTCCCCTTTTTTTTATTTTTAAATTAAAATCAATAAAATTTGAAAAATTGAATTTGGAGGTTTTTTTTTTTATTATTATCACTATTTAAAACAAATTTCCGTTTCCTGTTTTTTTTTCGTTCTAGACAAAAAAGTTTTATTAAAAATTACTCGTTTTTTTCAAAAAAAAAAAAAACCGTTAATTTTTTTATTTGTTTATTAAATACATTTCAAATCATAGAGTAATAAAATAATAAATCGTACGACGCGACATCTATACTTGAAAACTCTAACTAAAAATTGTTTTTGTTTTATTTTGTTTTCATTTTATCGTAGTAAGGGATTTTCACTTAAAATTTATTCGTACGCAAAAAATGATATTATTAATAAATAAATAAGTAAATAAATAAATTTAATAATTTGAATCGTATGATATAAATTTAATAATAATCGAATTATGTACATAAGTATTTTTTTTCAATATTTATTTTAAAAAAAACGAGTTGGAAATCATATTATTTATATATATATATGACGAAACGTTTGATTTATTACTAATAATAATAATAATATTTGTTATTAAATAAATATTTTTAAAAAATTCATTCGAGCGTATTTTTAAAAACAGTCGGTGGTATTTTAAATGAATGAATGAATGAATGAGAGGAAAATTTTTTAGTTTTATTTTTCTCTCTTTCTATTTTTTTTTTTTTAAATATTAATGTATGGATAAAATTTTT